AGGAAGCCCAGGCACCAGGAATATCAGAAAAGGTTTTCAAAGTGGGGACATCTGTATTGAGTTTTTAAAAATGATTATAAGTTCACCAAACAGACAAGAGAAGGAAAGACATTAAAACAGAAAACCAAAAATACACTTAGATACATAGAAATAGAAATGAAAAAAAGTGATTGGGGAACTGTGAGTACTAAACATAGTGGTGTTATGAGTTGTGGGTTGGGGAGCAGTAAAAATTGACTGGAAAAGTGATCCAGAGCTTTGAGTGCCATTATGGGAGGTCTGGGCATTATTCTGTAAAAAAATGGAAAGTAGAGTAAACCAAGGAGTGACATACTCAGATTTGATTTTAATAAAGACCATTTATAAATTTACAGAAGGAGTGAGATTAAGACAAGAAGTTAGGAAACTTTTATGTGGTCCAAATAAGAGATATTGTGATTTTCTGTCTATAGCAATACTCTACAGATGGATTCTAGAGATACTCCAGAGCAAAGCTAAGAAGAGGTAAGAGGATGAAGATGAGGAAGAGGAAGGAGTCAAGGATGCGTGTAATGGATGACGGACCTTGAAGCCCAGGTCACAGCTCCTGAGGTTGGTTTTAGTTAAGGGAAATTTGAGATTACTGGAAGACACCTTGGAGAGGATAGGCGAGAAGATGGAAATTTCAAATCCAGCTTCAGGAAAGGAGGTTTATGTGAGATGGACACTTATCTACCAGGGGTGCAGTCTGTAGCTAAACCAGAACTCTAAGTGATGCCATGAGGGGTGTGATGGGATGTGAAGAGAGTGTCAAGGAGAATGGTTTACAGTGTTAAAGGACTCAGAAAGGTCAAGCAGGATAAGACCTGAAACCACTGGATCTGGCCATTAAAAGGGAAAGTGAAGGATTCTCCAGCCTTCTTTTCACCCTTGTCATTTTACTCTGTCATTCTGTACAACTGGTGCCTCTTTTCCCCGTGACCTCTCCCTTCTATACATACCTCTGTTGTTAAATGAAGACGGCATGCTCTCTTCCTTCTAAAAATGTTTTTGCTTTATTTTAAAGTAACACATAATTATACTATTTACAGGGCACAGCACAATATTTCAATACATGTATGCAAGGTAATAATCAAATCAGGATAATCAGCATATTCAGCACTTCAAACATGTATCATTTCTTTGTGCTGAGAACATTAAAAATCTGCTCTTCTAGCTATGTGAAAATATATGATAAATCTTCATTACAGTTAGCTTGTCACGCTGTAGAACACTAGAAATTATTCCTCCTATCTAGCTGGACTCTTATATCCATTAACCAACCTTTTCATACTTCCTACTTTGGAAGCCTCCCCCCAACTATTCAATGTTTAGAACAACTTAACCATTCCTACTGGTCACAGTGTTCTGGAAAAGTAGACTCCTGACTCACACCTAGTCAGAATCTCTTACTGTTTTTTGAAAATACAGTAACCTATGTTATGTACTGTTGCTATAAATTTCTATAAAGAAGCAGTAAATCTCTTCTGACATGGCTACCCTTTGAACTCACCTATGACTTATGTTATGGGGGGACATGGATTATGCAAACACTTGCGTGTCCTGAACCAGTGCAGGGAAGGGAAGAAAACCAGAGTGGAATTGGTGGGAAATGAGGAGAATACAGCACAAGAGAAGACACAGAAATGAAAGATAGAATCAGGAGGATGGACTGAGCTGATGGCTGCAGTCAGCACCAAAGCACAAAATCAGCTTTATTTTATAGTATCTGTACAGGGTTGTTCAGCGAGAAGTAGCATAGACAATATGGGGAAATAGCATAAACAAAAGACTTAATTTTGGTCTTACAGTACAAAAGGAAAATATAAATGACTTTAATAAAGTTAAATCATCTTGTTAATGGTTTCTACTCAACTTTGTTAACATAGGACACATAGTAAGAATGGAAAGATCACGAGGATCTCTGCATAGTTAACTGGACAAGGAAAGAGCTAAGTGGCTTCTAGCAGGGGAGCATTAAGAAAGGAATATGGCTGTTTGGGAATGGAGGAGAAGCAGTTGGGGGTTCATTCCCTGAATGTTCCCCAGGCTGTGAGGGCCCTGCCATCTCAAAGCCCACTCTCTATACTTGAAGTTGCCTTGGATTAATACTATACACTTGCTTTAAAACTGGCTTTTGGAATGATTTCCCTCAGAGTCAGGTTTTCCTGAAATGATATCACATTTCCCCCCATACAAAAGCTATATTCAAATGAACCATGCCTCCAGCCCCTGAAATATCTTGTCATTTCCTTCTGTCCCCCAAACCCCCACATTTCCCCCAATACTATGCCAGTCATAGAAAACCACATTGAGAACTGCTCTAAGAAATTATTCCTGGATGCCCACACAGAGAACTGTGCAAGACTGAAGCCAATTTTGAAATTCATGGCAGACTGAAAAACAGCCCATGAAGTCTAGCTTGCCCATGAACTCAAAAATGATACCTATTTTACCACACTCACATCAGACCTACCAAGCTCATCTTACATCCTATATGTGCTTACTACCTACACCAGTACAAGAAGCTCAAGTTTGAGAACAGGGCATCAGGACTTCCCACTCTCAGAGGGCACCTGTTTGGGAGTCGGGGAGAGAAGGTTCCTGAGGAGCTGTAACACAGTTTCCTCTTATCCCTGAGGACATGGCCCCTTTATTAAAAAGGGCCATCAGAAAATCCTGATCCGAAGGCAAAAAGAGAGCCCTCGTGGGCAGCTTCTACCATTTTCATACCACTAACTGGCTACAGGCATTCAGTGTCACTGATCACTAGGAACATAAAGAGAGGAGACAGGGAAAGAAAGGGCACAGATGTATAAACTAGAACGAGAACGGAGGTCAGCCGGAGGATGCCAAGAAGAGAGAGCTGGGAGAGGAGGGAATATGTTCAAACTCCAAAACCAAACTCAGAAGTTCAAAAAATCCTGTCCTGCTTCATACTGAATTGTACAACAAAGTTTAGAGAATGATGCTTTGTCTAGACTAGGGACTCCCAGTTGTTTCCTATTGACTTTTTTTAACATTCAAGTTTAAATTATTAGCTCCTTTTAATGTCATACTTGAATATCACCTCAAACTTGTGTTCATTAATTTTTCTATCCACATGTATATCAGATCATAAAAGCAATAAAAATATAGAAGAGGCCATGCTTTTCAAAACAAACAAACCCCCTCCCAAAACAAAAAAACCCTGACTTTTCATTATAACATCCTGGATCAAATTAGTGAGTTCTTTTGTGTCTGGGCTCGGCATGGTGGTAAGCATCAATATTATCTCACTGGATCCCCATAATATTTGTCTAATTTACATTTTAAAGAGGAAAAAACAAAAGCTCACAATACTCCAGCAAATTTCCCAAGGTCGCACATCTGGCAAATAGCAGAGCTAGGATTTCAACCACCTCTGCTTCCTCTCAGCTACTCCCTAATGATACGCTTTCGAACACAACCACCGTGCCAACTATGGGATCAGTTTATATTCTTCACAGACTGCACCTCAGCAAGGCAGGGCTGTGAGATTTATAAAAATATTAGCCTTCCATGAGCAAATGACATGTTAATTGTCCCCAAAGAGACCAACAGATGGGATGGACAAAGAACAAAAAGTGATAAATTGTATCAGGTAGACAATTAAACGTTAGAATTATGTAATAATTTGTACTTCTATTAAATTTTACATCCCAGTTAACTGTTTCTGACCTTCAGACAGAGGAAAGTTTATTTACTAGGCCTTGAGTAAGCTGTGTAACACTCTGACCTCAGTCAGTGAAGGGGAAGGGCTGTTGTGAAGCCTGAATGAATGCCTGCAAAATGATGCCTAGCAGAGCACCTGGGCAGGACAGGCACAGAGCAGGTGCCGGACCACAGCCAAGACCTTCCTCCTTGTAGCTGTTCACACCTAGCACAGAGGATGGCACATGGGGCCCTTTAAAAATGTCTACGGAAGGAGCACAGTGAGTGAACTGTGATCTCAGGCTCTATCCGGAACCACCTTTCCTACAATCGCCCATTTCTGAACTCAGCTCTGAAATACGCCAGTCTCTCTCTTTTACTCTTCCTCACATTATCCAAAATAATTCAATGTCCACCTTTTCCTCTGGGAAAATCAAAGGTTGACATGGCTACCTTTTGAACGGAAGCTGTTAAAGATCCTTTCTTGTGTTCAAAAGTTTTACTGATTTTGAAAGGTCTTATTGATAAAAACACACACACACACACACACACACACACAGAGAGAGAAACTCAGGGGAAAAGGACAAAGAGAAAAAAGAAGAAAGAGAAAGAATAAAGGGGCCAGAAAAGAAAGAGAAGGAAGAGAGCCCAAGAAGAGCTCAGAGGGGCAAAAGGCTACTGAATGCATAATTGCCAACGGTCTTAGAAATAGCTCATACAACCACCATGGAGTGTTATTTTAAAAAACGAAGGGGAAAATATTTACATAAAACCCAAAGGATGGATGCTCTTTGTTGAATGCTGAAAAATGACAATGTATTCGGTTCATTAATTCACACGTTAGTCTGTGTGATGTTTACTTTAGTAACCACTGGCAGTTCTGAGCTAAATATTTACGAGAATTAAAAAGAAATTTAGGAACTAAAGAGAGAAATGAAGAATGTATTCTTTCTGCTCTGTCTTCACCACTCCGTTTATTTTGTTTTGCCCATGTTTGCACCCGTTTTAATGGTATATTTAGGGCTTGGGGTTGATCCAATGACATGAAACCCTTTGAGTCCTTCTTGAAGACCCTGGCCTCCAAAGTAGATATAAAAGTCACCCAGATTCTTAAACAATTTAAAGCAAAGTCATATAGAAAAAAAAGTTGCCCAGACATTAAGCAATTTTCTAATTGTGCTTATAACTGATAGTTTCAAAAGCAGATACGTTACCACAAACACATATTAAGAGTAAATTGGGCCTTAATTAGGTTTAGCAAATTTTATGTCCTCGTTAAAAACAGAATCACAACAATAAACTTGACTTACCACCAGAATTAACTCTTCCACAATTGTCTACTCTTCCCAAACATTCTTTGTGCGCTCTGGCGCCACACTTGAAACATAAATAGCCTTGATAAAATGTTCCTCTGAAAGGTAAAATTAGAGAGTGATATATTAAAATGTGCTAAATTCTGCCTCTATGAAATCATTAGTGTGAGAAAGGAAAGAAAAGGTATCAACGGTGCTGTTCAAAGCACACCTCAGCCGAGGGAGAGGAGCTCAGGGGGGCTTCTGAAGGGTCTGTCCAATAGAAGGCTGTAGCAAGGGTCTCACGTTGCAATGTTAAGGCAACGTCCCCACTGAAGAGCATCCTGGCCAGAAAAGTCAGGAACACTTAGCGGTTATACCAATTCCCTTAAACTGAGAAACCTACTGAACAAGCTTACCTCAGGAGCATCTGGCAAACTTTGCAGGACGTAACCCGAGTGAAGGTGTGCATCTTGAAGTCGTGGAAATTGGAGTCTGCATAGTCTGGCCTTATGTTAGATCTATAAAAAGGGAACAGAAAACTTCCTAAAGCAAGGTTCACAACAAAGCAACCGCAGAGGCATCTAAAATGGAGTCGCGACCCGCAGGTTGAGAACCACTGCTTTATGGCTTGGCACCTGCAGCTCAGTGGTTAGGACACTGGCCACATATACCAGGGCCTGCTAAACAACGACAACTACAACAAAAAATACAGCCGGGCACTGTGGTGGGCACCTGTAGTCCCAGCTACTTGAGAGGCTGAGGCAAGAGTATCGCTAAAGCCCAAGACTTTGAGATTGCTGTGAGCTATGACACAACTGCACTCTACTGAGGGTGACATAATGAGACTCTGTCTCAAAAAAAAAAAAAAAATCTTCCTTTCCTGGGACTATTGGCTCACACCCATAATCCTAGCACTTTGGAAGGATGAGGCAGGTGGATTGCTTGAGCTCAGGAGTTTGAGAATAGCCTGACCAAGAGCAAGACTCTGTCTCTACCCAAAACAGAAAAGCTAGCTGTGCATTGTGGCAGGTGCCTATAGTTCCAGCTACTTGGAAGGCTGAGGCAAGAGGATCTTTTGACTACAAGAGTTTGAGGAGCCATGTTAGTCTACCCAGGATGACCAAGTGAGATTCTATCTCAAAATACCTTCCTTAACAAATAGTTCACTTTCTCCAAATAAAAAACAAAACTGATTTATCACTTATATCGTCTTTTCTACACATACACAACAATATAAGTTATTGTATGTGCCACAAACTAATATTCATTGTGCACTTGTTTTGTGCCAGATACTGTGACAACCATGTGACATTCACTACCTCATTTAATCTTCACGTCAATCCTAATTGCCTGGCACTAACAGTACCTCTAGTTCACAAACAAGGAAGCTGTGCCTTATTCTAAAGGAGTGGGGGCCTCCAGCCTTTTTTCTTCTCTGCCACGCATTAGAAGAACAAGAGATATCTCAGGCCACATGATGTTTGTAAATACACAAACACTAATGAAAGCTGATTAGCAAAAAAAAAAAAAAAAAGGTCCATGCATACTTTCTGTCATAGGTGACACCACAGATAAGCAAAAAACACCCTCACAAAATCAGCATTTGGCCCACAGGGTGTAGGTTGGAAACCCCTACAAAAATACAGCTTACTCTTAAAGGAAATGGCAGAATCTAACCCAGGTCTGTGCTCTTAAGCTCTGAAGCTATAGTTCCAGGAGGAAACCAGCAATATTCACATTAAGTAGATTTTTGTGTTCAGTAGGCATGTTGGAAACAGATATTGCCATTTCTAGAGGATTTTTTACATGATTCTTGATTTAGCCACGTCATGAAAGAAAGCAGAAAAACCAGAAGTTAAAAACAGACACAGAGCTCCCCTAGAAAGCTAAGATGAGGCACCCTAAGATGTTACACACAATCTGAAAGATTGTAGGAAAAGCGTGTGCTACTGATGAGCGAGGATTTCCCCTTCTATAGAATCCTGCGGCCCGCCAGCACAGAGCCCTGGAGTAATGAAGCGGAACGCAGGCGGGCGGCCAGGCATCAATCTCTGGGGTACCAGGAGAGGCCTTATGAAAAAACATTCTCAAAGGCAATTGGAGCAGCAGGCAGTGATGCAGAAGTGTCACAGAGGTCAGCCTTCCAATCCATCTGCTGCATATGAGCGTGCTAAAAATGAAATCAAATATTGGTGCCATCTGGGATTGCTCTGCTCCGTGCTTCTGTGACCTCACTTTTTAGGAAAATGTTCTGCTTTATGCTGGAAAGTACCACCATTTCCACAGTGGCACATTTGCATTCCTGATTAAAAATTATAGAGCTCCTCTTCAGGGAAGGATGAATACAGAAAACAAAGATCTAGAAATAAAGCTCTCTTTACTTTGTTCAAAAAGCATTTGTTTCTTGAGTAGATAAAGCCATCTGTTGAAAGGTGCCTCAAAACCCATTTCCTGAACGGGCACAGTGGCTCAGGCCTGTAACCCTGGCACTCTGGGAGGCTGAGGTAGGTGGATCGCCTGAGCTGAGGCGTTCAAGATCAGTGTGAACAAGAGCAAGACTCTGTCTCTAATAAAAAATAGAAAAACTAGTCTGGCATTGTGGCAGGTGCTTGTAGTCCAGCTACTTGGGAGGCTGAGGAAGGAGGATTGCTTGAGCCCAAGAGTTTGAGGTTGTGGTGAGCTGTGATAGCAGGGTGCTCTTCTCAGGGCAAGAGTGAGACTTTCTCAAAAAACACAACACAACCAAACAAAACAATTTCCTCAGTCAGGAAGAGCCGTTGGCTCATTTGTCTCAAGCATCAGGGTGATACAGACATAGATGAATTGTCAAATAACAATTTCGGTCCCGGCAATTTAAAGAATTCATCAGCCTGGAGTTTTCAAATAAAAGTAGGTCTCCTTCAGGCAGAATCTCATGTAAATGGGTCCCAAACAGATAAGAATTTAATTAGTTTTAGAAATCTTGTTTGGACATAAGTGGAACTCCTTCCTTCAACCCACATTATGCTTAACACACTGACTACCATAACGAAAAAAAAGAAAATTTTCTTCTTGAGGGCACAGTGTGTTGTTTTATTATGAAAATAGAATAAAAATCCAAAGAGCAAAAGAATCCCAGAACATACATTAATAAAAGGTAATAGAAAAACTTGAAAATGAGAAATGTGAAAACTTGAAAAATAGTTCGTGATTTATGATAAAAACAACAATCTAAAACAGACTTGGGTGCAACTCTGAGTGTGCGTGTGTGGAGAGAGAGTGTGTGATCTGTGTTTGGACTATTTGTATTTCAAACTTGTACAACGAACGAGGAATAAGCTGGCTTTTCAGAGGACAAGAATCACAAACACGCTAAGAGGTTCTAAAAAACCCGTTTGATGAAAAAAGTTCTGAAAATATTTTTAACAGTAGCTGCCTTAAGGGATGAAACTTGAAGTGGTCGCGTAGAAGAGTAGGAAGGGATTGTTTGAATTTTTTAAACCTAACATTGCATATTATTTTTAAAATTTAGACTCAAATGCTAAAGAATAAAAGTTAACTCTATGACCCTGAAACTGCTACGGAGGCACAACTGAATATAAAAGCATGGTTAAGGGCAGGAATCTGAAATTAGACTACCCGGGCTTAAATCTTAACTTGCAAATCAGTAGCACTGAGGCCTTAGGCAAGTTAGTAAGTATAAAATAGGAATACTAATAAAGCCACACTCATAAAGTGAGGCAATATATGGAAACTGCTTACAACACTGCCCGCTCCAGAGTTGGTGTCCCACCAGCCTTGGCTACAATTTATGGAGTGTTGATTCCAAATCCACATAGTAACGGTGTGATCATGATAGTGCTGTATGAGCAAGAGTCCATTGGTAAGTCTGTGCCAAGTACCCCAGAGGATTCTCATTCTCCTGGGAATTTCCAGCAGGAAGGCTGGTGTATGCTCAGTCTCCTTGGGACCAGGAATCCATATATAATTAAGTACAATAAGAAGCAGGGTTACTCGGAAGAGGACATGTGAGAAAAAGCCCAGGGAACCGGATGAAGCCAGGGCCAACTAGTGAGAAGGAAAAACACACATGGCCTGAGCCCAAAACAGTAAATTGACTGGCTGGGAGGTGTTCAGAAGATGGCCTGGGACAGGAGAGGATAGAAAAACACTGAGATTATATGTTGAGAAACACACAAGGGCAAATGGTCAGAGGGAAATATATTGTTCAACTCTAATGCACCAGGTCCTTTGCTAGGCTTTTCATATATTTCCTCACATTTATGTCTCATAACAAATCTAAAAGGCAGAGTCATTCATTAATCTAATAAATATTCATTAAGTAACTACCACATGCACAGGCCCAAAGGCAAGACCACAAAGACAGCTCCTTTGGCTGGAGCCTAGTTGAGAGAAGGGACACAGATGAGGATAGAAAGGTTGGCAGGAGCCAAAGAAAGAAGTAAGATTTTATACAGAGATTGTCATTATATTTAGGTGACAAATCTTAATGGCCACTACATAGAGATTTCCTCATAGTGAGGCAAGAATGGATGTGGTGGGACCAATTGTGGAGAGAGGCCATCTAGAGATGAGAATTGAGAATCAAATACAGTAGTTCACTTGGTTAGTCACGCAGTTATGTGGAAAGAAGTCTGCTTTAATAATCTGCCCTAACACATGACAACTTGTGATTGAGAACTTTAATTGCATCTTGTAGATTTCTCAATAAAATCTTCCCATTGCTTTGGCTTCACACAGAGCCCATTACTAACTCAATTATTCAGGCAATCACATATTTACAGGACAAGGAATGTGGACACTCAGGGCATCCGACGACACTGCGTGATCTCCTCAGGTGGCCTCCTCCCCTCACCTGGCTCCTCTGCAGGTGCGAGGCTGAGGACCACACATTGGCCCTCGCCTGGGCCTCTTTTCCCGTCATTGGTCCACAGGTGTGTCAAAGGAAGCACACACAAAACTCAACTTCCAAGCCTTTTCTGACAAGTCTGATCCATTTATGCCATCTCGCACCTTGGAAACTTCAGAGTCACAGTGAAGGCTTCCCTTTCCCTCCTATTATCTACACAATAATTTTCTCTGAACTTCTCTTCTGCTCCTATTTCTCCTTCCCCCAAACTGACTCATTTCTATTGATTTGATCTTAACAATACCTTCTGAGAAGCTCAAGTTCCTTACCCTTGTGTACACACACACACACACACACACACACACACACATGCATGCACGTGCACCAGGGGCTCTGTTTCTTCAGAGAACCCTCACACAGTCATACCAGAAGTAACATCAGAAAGGTTTAGTGGAGCCATTTAGCTAAGGAGGGCGTGGGCGCGGTGCTTAAATTCAGGTCCGTCACCGTCTATAATACTTTACTTGACACTTGATGCTAAGTTAAATAGACTTCCTAGGTTTTCACCAACTTTGCATAGCCCTAAAAGAAATGACCATAGCATGAAAAGTGTTTGCATGCCCAGTGCCCTGCTGGCCTAGGCGGTGCTTGAGAATAGGGGCCAGGTCT